TCAGCAATAAAAATGAATGAAATACCAATACATGCTGTAACATGGATGAATGTTGAAAACGTTTTGCAACATGAAATAAGCCAGTTATAAAAGACCACATATTCTGTGATTCCATTATTATGTAACGTGGGAAACAGAAAAATCTTAGAGATTGAAAGCAGGCTAGTGGTTACCTGGGGCTAAAGACTGGGAGATGGAATGTGGGAATGCAATGCTTATGGGTACTGAGGTTCTTTTGGGGGTGGTGGAAATATTCTAAAATTAGATGGTGGTGATAGTAATACAGCTCAATGAATATACTAAAACCCCTGAGCTGTACACTTTACAGGGGTGAATTTTATAGTATGTGAATTATATCTCAAGAAGGCTGTATTTTTGTTAAATTGTTCTTGCAAAACACTTATGTTTATTACAGAATTGATTAGAAATCCAAAGGTAACAAGAAAAACACACACACCCAGCCTTTCTGCCTCTGAAGCAAGAGCAGAAATGCCCCCCGGGACTGTGAAGGGCTCTCTGGGAGCTGCAGGCCCTGAGGTCTGTGTGCCTGAGCTCTGAGCACAGGCCTGGTCACTTGGCTATGGCTCAGTCGCATCAGCAGGAGCATTGTGGCGTGCACCTTAGCAATCAGAGGCCAGCCTCTTGGGGACGTTTCTTTCTGCCTGTTTCCCTCTCAACTGGAAAAACGCTGATTCTTTAGTCCGGTCCTTCCATTTCCGTTCATGGCATATTTTTGCTGCTTCAAACGACTTCTAAAAAATGAACAGTTCAATAAACATTTATCCAGCACTTACTGTGTACCATACACTATATTAAGTACCACACCAACGTGCAAAGGTGGCAATTCTCTTAACCTCTTTGTTTCCACTCAGTGACTCTTTTTTCACACAATGGAAATTCTTTACCGTCTCCTGCAGTTTCTACTAATGCTGCCCCCAAAATATGGCTATAAACTTAAAGCAACCTTTAAAATATGTGTGTAAAGCATGTTAACATTATTGTTTAAAGGTATCATTGACACTCTTAAAGAAACAATGTCACCTTTAAAAGATAAGCGGTGTACGGTAAGGCTCATTATTCTTTCATGAGGAAATTTGTGAAGGACTAGAATCTAGTGATGGCGAACCTTTTGAGCTCGGTGTGTCAGCATTTTGAAAAACCCTAACTTAACTCTGGTGCCGTGTCACGGATAGAAATTGTTTGATATTTGCAACCGTAATAAAACAGAGACTTAATATTTTTGATATTTATTTTATATATTTAAATGCCATTTAACAAAGAAAAATCAACCAAAAAAATGAGTTCATGTGTCACCTCTGACATGCGTGTCATAGGTTTGCCATCACTGGACTAGATAGTGAGTGCACTGAATTGCCCACAGGAAGGCCAGAACCTAGCACTAGGAAGATGATCTTCCTGAGACATGCACTGAGCTTGTTATCATGTCTGGCCTTACCTGCCTCCGCTGGAAAATAACATGCTTTAAGGATGTAAGAAATGATTAAAACAGTGGATCTCGTGGTCACAAGAGTCTAGGTTAGAGTACCAAAAGGCAAGTGAGATGAAAATGATTCTTATCCTTATATGCATGCATACAAGTCCTTTGGTTGATCTCTTACCCACCAAAACGTTTTTATTGATTTCAGAGAGGAAGGGAAGGGCCGAAACATCAATGAGGAGAGAGAATCATTGATCAGCTATCTCCTGCACACCCACTACTGGGAATCAAGCCCACAACCCAGCGGGTGCCCTTGACTGGAATCGAACCCTGAACCCTTAGGTCCGCAGGCTGACACTCTATACACTGAGCTAAACTGGCTAGGACTCATAAGACACTGGGGAGTAGGGAAGGCCTGGGGATTGTCAAGGGCGGGGGGGAAAAAAGGAGACATATGTAATACTCTTTGTAATACTTTGAGCAATAAAAAATAAATAAATAAATAAAATGAAAGGTTTGTATCCCCCTTCCCCCCGCCCCCCAAAAATGTTTCTTATCCCCAAGGCCTTCAAAAAATCATTACACACATGCAAATTTCTTTTATCAGAGTTTTAATAAATTGCAAAATGGATAATGCATAATTATCTTATTGTAAAATAGGGTGGCCATTATGTGCTGTGGCTTTTTTAATACAACAACATTTTCGCCTTTCAGCTATTACATTAATAAGATTATACAAATTCAGAGGCAAATGGTATGCTTTTCTGTAAAGATTCATTTGTAAGTAGTAAAAATAAATATGATTAGGCTCTAGTTACAAAATAGAATGAAGAGCTGTGTGGAACCATTTAAACAATTGGGAAAAGTAAAAATATAAAACTCCAAAGAAATGTGTAACTTTGAGAGATTTATTAATTTTAATTTAAACAGCAAACTTTTAGTTAAATGTTGATAATTTGGTTTGAGTGCGAATAAAACACAAGTGAAGCTAGTTTAGGTCTGGGGATGTTATGTAATATTATGTTATGCTGCGCTAAGCTATGTTATGTCATGTTACGTGATACACGATCCTATTATATCATGTATTGTTTGTTTTCCCTCTCTTTCTAGACAGATGAACAGGCCATGCTAGAAGATACACTGGTTGCACTATTTGATTTGGAAAAGGTTTCTTTTTACTTTAAACCATCAGAAGAGGTACCGCTGGTTGCAAGTACGTAGCTAAATGTTTTATAGAATTTCTTTGTCATCAAACAAACACATATGGTAATACTTCGATATAAATATATTTTACATGAAGTTTATTTTATTATTTTTTAAAATATATTTTTACTGATTTCAGAGAAGAATGAGAGGGAGAGAGAGATAGAAACATCAATGATGAGAGAGAATCATTGATCAGCTGCCTCCAGCATGCACCACACCAGGGATCGAGCCCCAACCAGGGCATATGCCCCGACCAGGAATCAAACTGTGACCTCCTGGTTCATAGGTCAACGCTCAAACACTGAGTCACGCTGGCTGGACTGAAGTTTATTTTACATAAAATATCATATTTAGAGAAAATAATAATAGCAAATTGGGAGGCATAGAAAGTATATATAACATAAGCCTACAAATAATTCTAAACTTTTATTTGTACTTATTAGTTTGACCTTCAAAGTGTTTTGAATGTGTGCATCAAATTTTGTGCTAGTCAAGATGTTCTTCCCTTTTTTATTTTTGTTATTTTGGTAAAACATACATACCATAAAATTTACCACTTAAATGATTTTCAGTGTAGAAGTCAGTGGCATTAAATAAATTCACACTATTATGCAACTATTTCCAGCATCCATCTCCAGAATTTTTTATTCTCCCAAATAGAGACTTCATACTCATTAAGCAATAAGTCTCCATTCCCCCCTCTTCCAGTCCCTGGTAATCTCTTCTCAACTTTCTGTCTCCATGAATTTGCTATGCTAGGTACCTCTTATAAGTAGGGTCATAGAATATTTGTTCTTTCTACTGCTTTTTTATATAAAGATTTTTTTTAAAATAAAAGGACTGCCCTAATATTTCTGTAGCTTCCAAAACTTTTTCTCAAATATGTACAAAATTGACTGAGTTGACTTTGCTCTCCGGATCTTCAATTGTTCCTCTAGGACAGCGGTTCTCAACCTGTGGGTCACGACCCCTTTGGGGGTCGAACGCCCCCCCTTTCACACCGGTCGCCTAAGACCATCAGAAAGCACATATATAATTACATATTGTTTTTGTGATTAATCACCATGCTTTAATTATGTTCAATTTGTAACAATGAAAATACATCCTGCATATCAGATATTTTCATTACGATTCATAACAGTAGCAAAATTACAGTTATGAAGTAGCAACGAAAATACTTTTATGGTTGGGGGTCACCACAACATGAGGAACTGTATTAAAGGGTCGCGGCATTAGGAAGGTTGAGAACCACTGGGCTAGGGAAAGTGTTAGCAGGCAACGCAAACAAGTATTTAGGGCCGATAAGAAGCAGAAGAATCCTATGTTATGCTCACTTTGTATAACATTTAGATCTAAACCAGTTGAGAAAGACATTATAGTTATTTGATCTGACAATAATTGAAAAAAGTTATAATTTAATTTTGAAGTAGACACACATTCTATACTTTATGCTTGCTTAAACATGAAAATAAAAAAATCATTTCATTCTGAATGTCAAGCATTTTAATGTGTATAAATATAATCACAATAATTATCTTGATTCATTTATTTATCCTCTACAAAAAGCATGTCAAACTCGAAGGCTAACACAGGCCAAATAAACTAGGCATGCGGCCCGCGGGCCGTGAGTTTGACATGCTTGCTCTACAATATCCAGGATGGCAAAACCCTTTCCTGTCTTGTTCATGGTTATATCTCCAGCACCTAAAAGAGTGCCTGAAACAGAAAAGGCAATGCTCTTATTTTTCCCCAAGGAAATGAATGAACAAATATCAATTAAGTATATGCATTGCCACAGGCAGAAGGGCATTATTATTATAAAAGTTGAAGGAAGAACAAACTTAGTGTGATGATTGAAGGAGAGAACTTCAACAGAATGTCGTTGTATCTAATGTAGCGAAGAAGATGCTTAATCAATTGAGGGTTTGAAAAATATCCCTTTGATTTAGCAATTTGATGTCAGTATACCCAACAAAGGGAGTAATTTGGAAGTTTATATTCAGAGAAATAGCAATACCTAGAGTTTAATCTCTATATCTTTTAGTTTCTGCAAGTTCTCATTTACCTACTATTTCAACATTGTCATAAATAGGTTTAAAATTTATCTCTGAGTCCAAGAAATCTTTAGCAGTATTATTATTATTATTCTCTTATTTTTTCTCCATAAGTGTGAGGATCTTAAGTACTTACTATGTTAACTTTTCCAGGGCTGGGAAAGGTTCTTATGTTCCCATTTCTGACGTCTAGTATAATAAATAGGGACTCAATAAATATCCATTTAATCTGTGATCTGATTAAGAATGATAATCATTTATTCAATCGTCAAAAATTTCTGAAACATCTACTATCACCAAGTACTATTTTAGGTGCTGGATACGGTAGAGATCTAGACAGACAGGCCTCACAGAACTGATATTCAAGTGGAGAGATAGAAACAATAAGCAAGACAAAATGAGGTAATTTGACAATAAATTAGAAGATTATAATATGAACGTATAAGGGAAATAGAAGAGAACAGAGGATGAAAATGAAGGGGCAGATGAAAGGGTGCAAATGTTTAACAAGCTGGGAGGGAAGCCTTACTAAGGAGAAGAGCAGAGACCTGAATGCATTAAGGGAGCGAGTCATACAGGTATGTGGGAGGGCGTGTTCCAGACTCATTGGAACAGTGTGTCATGCTCTCAGGATTGCCAAGGAGGCCTGTGTGGCTGGCATGGAATGACTGAGGGGAAAAGAGTAGGAGATAAGAAGGAACGCAGTGGC